TCTATTTGATTGTCATGGAGAGTTTGGAGATCGATTAGCCTAGCCCTCTTCCACCATCTCTTCTTGACGGTACCATTCTCTCACGACATGATTTAGAATGATTGAATTTATAGTTCGTCAATATTGTTCTTATTTTTCTTTGAAGCGATTGCATTTCAGTGACTGTCCATTTTATGATACCAAAACTATACGAAAGAACAGGGACTGCATATGTATTTATGGCTTTATTAAGGTTTTTGCCATTTATATTCGCTTTACATGTTTTGTGTAACCGTGATGTGAATTCCCTTGTTAGATTATTTTTAACCGTTTTTTTATCAATACGCCTATTTCGGACCATACCTAGGTAATTATTGAATCTTTTTCTTCCATGTGATTAATGTTTTCCATCTGTTTGTCTTCACTATTTGATATTTTTAACCTATGAATATGTATTTTTTTGTATTTTTCGAGACCAAATTTCATGGCGATGTCCTTGCTAAACATTGATACGATTTGTATGAGGTGGTCTAAGCTTTGTCTCGTTGAGGTGTACATTTTTAAGTCATCCATATACAAAAGGTGATTTAGTATTTCTTTATTAGAACCAGTTTTAATTTTGTGGATTGAGTGGATTGAGTGCAATGCAGTACCAAAGAGCAGATAGACAGTCACCTTAAAAATTCCACATTTTATGTTGATGTCCGATGTTTTTATTATTCCTGCGTCCGTATAAATTTGAATACTTGTTCGCCATTGTTTCATATTGTGGGTTAAGAATTCAATTATATTTGAATTAATTTTATAGATCTTCAGAACTTGTATAAGCCAACTGTGTGGCACACTGTCAATAATCTAATCAATAATATAATCTATATAGCATGCATTCAAATTTCTGGACTGGCTGTATGTATGTTCTAATATGGTTTGATCAATGGTCAGTTGTTCCTTACACCCTTTAGCATATTTACTGCATCCTTTTTGTTCTTCACGGATAATATTATTTTTTGTTAAATGTTTGTTTATTAGGTTGTTTAGACAAGCTGTCATAATTTTGTAAATAGTAGGCAGACAGGTGATTGGTCGCCCATTTGAAGGGTTTCCTTTAAATCTCTTATCCTTTGGAATAAGGGATGTAATTCCATTAGTGAAGTCTTTCGGAAATTCCTTGGGTCTTGAATGCAATCGTTTAGAAGTTCTATAAGTTGTTGGTGCATCGCCGGAAATCTTTTGAACCAGAAGTTTTCTAATATATCCGGACCTGGTGATTTCTAGTTGTGTGCTTTCAAGATAATACTTCTGTAACTTCTTCACATGTAAGGTACTTTGCTGACATTTCCTCAAATTGCTGGTTATTATTATTTTTAAAAATATTATTATAATTATTATTAAAAATATTATTATAATTATTATTAAAAATATTATTATAATTATTATTAAAAATATTATTATAATTATTATTAAAAATATTATTATTATTAATAATAACTGAGAGTAATCCAACTCACAGTCAGGTATTTACGTATTCCGGGTCATTGACCAAAGGATATACGCTCTGTTGGAGTGTAATCAAAGTTTTACACCCTTAGACAACATCGTTTTTTGCATTTGGTGGACTATGGTTAATGGTTTTAAATTTAAATGTGTAAGTGAAATTATTGTTGTTTTCGGGACTAGGCCTGTGGAGCTTATTATTATTGGTTGTATTTTTACTTCATCTATATCTAGTAAATTTTTAATATATTGTGTTAATTGTTGGTATTTACTTATTTTATTGATGTACCTATGTGTCTTGAATGATGTTATTAAGGGGAACTGCAAAATCTATTATGTGTGCTGTTTTATTCTGTTTATTTATTATAATCATATCAGGTCTGTTGGGTATTTGTGTGCTTTGTATTATGTTTGTAACAATGGACCGGTCCCAGTATATTGTGATTTGTTTAGCATTTATCACAAGTTCCGGGTTCTATTTGTAATATGGTGTCTCTACATTAGCTATTTGCAGGATATTAATATGCACTATTTTTCCAAATACAAACGTATTTTGTACTTGTTAGCATTGAGCAACTATTTATTATGTGCGCAATCATCTGTGATGCTTGAGCACACCGCTTACACCTGTCGCCTATTAGATTTGGTGTTCTTAATACCTAGATAGCAACGACGCTGAGGGGATCAAGCCGGAATTGGAACACGAAATTTTTCTAAGTTTATTAATTTGTCAAAATTAGCCAAATTTAAGCTTTTTCACCAAGTTTGAAATATGATTTAGATAGAAAATTCAATTATTTTTCATTTGGTATACACCCCATATCTGTATGTTTTGTAATAACTGAGATATTGAAAAAATAAAAAAATCAAATTTTTTGAAAAAACTGACTTTTTTTACTTAAAAAATTATTAAAAAACAACCACAAACGGGACCGACTTGCACGGATACTCATCTGAAAGGCAATAAAACAAGCTTTCCAATAAAGCAATAAAAGCAAAAATCGTATGCACAGATTTTGTGCAAAATTGCATTAAAGTTCGATATCGAAACTGCTTAAATATCATCCGAATCAAAAAACTAAAAATGCAAAATGTTCAGAAATATATCATAAAACACAATTTTAAAACCTCAATTAGATATTTTAATTTTATCATAAAAAATTGTTAAAAAATAGCATTTTTTTTAGCTTACTTTACTGTAATCATTATATCTTCGCGTGCAAAAAGTGGACCGAAACAAAATTAATTTTTCTTTAAAGACAATAAAATTTGCTTTCCAAAAAACCTAAAATCATAAAAATCGTATGCACAGTTTTTTCTCTATTATTTTTTAAAAATTGTCAATTTTTTACCAAAAATTTAATTATTTGAAAAAAACCTCCACCCTCACAGCGCCAAATGCGGAGCACACTCAAGGCAGGCATGCCAGCGCCATCTAAGTTTCAAGTACAAATATGATGTTTGTATTTTTTTACGCAAGTATTGCGAATAAATGCATTAATGTGAATTTGAATAGAAAAAGCGACTTTCTTATATAAAAAGATTAATTTATAAAAAACTACAATGAAGATCCAAATGCACGCGAAAACCTTTAAAGGCAATAAAACTCACTTTCAATTGCAACATAATTCAGAAAGATTGATTTTGTCTTCATCCCAGGAAATTTAATCAAACATGTAAATTATTATTTCTTTTTAAACACATGTTTTTAAAAAAGTAAAGATGAGAAATGTTAAGATGTACAAAATAATGCATAATTGTAAAATATCAACAAAATATTTCAATTATATCATAGAAATTTCATTAAAAATAAAGAATTTTTTTTATAGTATGCATTTATATATCTCAATAAATTTTCATGCACGAACGGCACCAAAATCATCTATACATTTTTATAAAGATGAAGAAATTTCCTTTTCAAAAAGCTCAAAATCGTAAAAATCTAATGCACAGTTTTTTTATAATCATTTTTTAAAAATTTCTCTATTTTTTACCAAAAATTCAATTTTTTTATATAAATAAATTGTGTCACAGCGCTAAAAGCGGTTTAAAATCAAAGTAGATGGGTAAATTGATCTGTATTTTGAGTGGGATGGTGTCTAACAAAAACACTTATCAGTGTTACAAACCATTTCTTTTTAGAAATGTATGAAATGTTTGGAATCTGTCAATGTTTATTCAAAAAAATTTCAGTGGCGGAATCTATTTTATAACACTATTTTTTAAATTAAAATCAAAAGTTATTTTTATTTTGATATAATAAAAAATACAACATAATAAAATAATAATAAAATAATAATAAAATAATAATAAAATAATATATAATAATACAATAAAAAATACAAGATATTTTATTTTAATATAAATTTAATTACACTATTCTCTTGGTTATGTGAATACTCGATTAAGTAAACATCCATTTATGTGGACAAAATAATCACCCAAAAAATTAACACGTGATATTTTATAGAGTGAACAAGTTGACGATTTAATTATGTGAACAACTGAAAACTTTTATTCTTTCTGTTATTTTTTTATTTTAAGGCTTATAAATAATATAAATTATCAAAAACATGAGCATATTTTGTTTTTGTTACAATGTTATTTCAATTTCTAGGCGTCAGCTTTCTTTGGTATACTGGATAGGCTTTCTTCGCAAAATGTACAAATCAAAAATATGTACTTCAGTTTGTACGATAAAAAAAAAAGTAAAACAAAGATTTTAGATGCCATAGACAATTCTACAGTTAGACAATGCTGCTTGCCACCCTTCTGGACAGGTCTTGCAGTTAGATGATAGTAGTATTTTTGTAGTATACATGCTACCAAATGTAACTCCTTTAATTCAACCAATAAACCAAATGTCATTCGTATGATATTTAACGCTGGCCAAGTCAACGAATAAAATCAAAGCTGAAGCAATCCGAAAATGTTGAAAAACATTACTAAATTTTGAACAAAACTTCAATATTGAAGACGACATTTCATTGAGTACATTACTGCAGCAATACCTTGCTGATATAAACCACCCATTTTAAAGTTAACACTTTATTAGCTGAATTAGATTTAAATTATAAGATTAGATGAGGAGAGATAGTGTGTTGAACTAGACATTGAGAATAATGAAGTTGATAATGATTATGAAGACGAAAGGGCTAGTGAACAACGAACTATTAGCTCGACAGAAGCTTTAACCGCATTCAATAAAGTAATCGCTTGGGGAGAAGACAATCGTGTTACCAAACATTTAATAGTACTGAAGAATTGTCGAGAGAAACGGGTGCATAAAATGCTTGCTCGAAATAAAGTATAAACGCAAGTGACAGCTTATTTTCAAAAAAAATTATTGTTAAAAGTAAAAATGTTAGCGCTTCTAAAAAGTTAATAACAAGCAAATTAATCAGATAAATGAAACATACATGTTTAAAAATTTAATAATTACATTTATATTTATATTTTTTATTAATAAAATTAGAAAAACACATAAAAAAAATTTCAAATTTCAATGTGAACTTGCTCTGTCTGAATTAGTTCACATTAGTTAGCACGTTCTGTATATTATTATGGTCGTTTCAAACATTTTTCTTTGATAATTGGGCATTTTCTTTTTGTACCATCTTCAGCTTACGCCGCAATTGGAAAACTAAAATAAATAAAAATATATATGTTAATATATATCAATTAAAAAAAAATATAATATAAAAACTTACATTGTTTCTTTTTCTTTTGTTTTTCTTTATTCTCTTCTTGACGACGTTGGCGGTCCTCTTCCTCTTGCCGTTGACGCTCTTCTTCCTGCCGACGTCGTTCCTCCACTGGCTGACGTTGCCGATTGTTTTGTGGCTGACGTCGCCGATCGTCCTGCGGTTGACGTCGCCGATTGTTTTGTGGCTGACGTCGCCGATCGTCCTGCGGTTGACGTCGCCGTTCGTCCACTGGCTGACGTCGCCGATTGTTCTGTGGCTGACGTCGCCATTCGTTCTGTGGCTGACGTCGCCCATTGTTCTGTGGCTGACGTCGCCAACATTGTTGCGGCTGATGTTGCAGAGGCTGAAAGATACAAATATGATTAAATGTTATTAATAAATATATCAATAAAAATGTATGTACAAAATTTGTGTCAAATTATTGAATATTTAAAATACTTACATTATAATTGATCACAGGGATCACCGGGTAGCCCATATAAAATAATGGAAATATATTTTGATTCTGGAATAATTAATTATAAATTATTAATTATAAATTTAGTTATAATTCAATTACAAATTTAAATAAAAATAAAAATATGTAATTGTTAAATATTATATTTGTTATTATATAATTTGTAATTAAAAGTCAAATAGACTTTTAATGTTCTTATTTTTTTTATTTTATTTTATTACACTTTACTTACCATTATCTACACACTTTTACCACAAATAAAAAAAAATTCTCAAAAACTTAACACTGATAACGTTCCGCGACAAAAGATTAACGCAAACTAAATAGATGTTGAAATTAGGCAAATGCATTGCTTGTATTTAGTATGCATATGTAAGTATATGCAACATATAACAATACATAATTATGCTTCTTTCTACTAATCTAGGATTGCACGCAAAATTTGCGTTAGGCGCCGGACAGACCGGTGAGGAGAAAAAATATTTTCTCCCAAAATAAAAAAAAATCAAAAATGGTGTTAAGCGCTGGACTTAACTTACCATCCATACGTATGTAGGTATATTAGGGATATATATATGTATACACATATGTACATATGTATATCAATTTTATATTTTACTTATTTAAAGGTGTTTGCATTGTTTTTTTAATATTACTTTAATTATTTAAAAAATTTAATGTTTAATTTATTACAATATATTTACAGTATATTAGAGTAGTAAGCTTACTTAAAATTTATACTATTATTAATAAATACATTTTAATATAACTAAATAATTTAGTTTAATATATTTTAATGTAATGAATTAAATATTATTTAAAAAGCACAAGCAGTGGGTGAAATAAATATTTGGATCATTTTGTTATTCGATCTGTTCAAAAATTGTAGACAAAAGTTAAGGCACTTGCACAAGCATATATAAACATAGAAACCCACCCTCAAATCACTATCCGCTGCGCACAACACTTTCGCATTTACTTTTTGTGTTTTTGTGATAATGTCATTCACTATAGACTTCTCAAAAATCCTACGAAGTTTAATGCACAAGTATGCAGGTAAAAAAAGTTTGTCAATGCGCATAGGCAAGCAGAGCTATGATATGCAATAAATGAAAAACTTCGAAAAAAACATAACGGCATAAAAATCGCTAATATAAATATGTACATACATACATATGTAATTTAACACACATATTATTTGTTTTATTTTAATTTTTTATATTA